TCGGCGACGCAAAACAACAGTTTTGTATTTTGAAAAATCGCTGAATAAACACGGGTGTCGCTCTTTTATGTTAATTAAGATATTTTTACCTTTTTTTTACTGCTGTGTCTGCGAGGCTAGACTATAACTAAGACCCTGTTTACATGGAGTGGGGGATCCCGGTCTAGTGGGGTAAGTTTCTTTTGTTTTGTGTCCCCCAGAGCGTGAAAACAAAAGAAACTTACCCCACTAGACCGGGGTCCCCCACTCCATGTAAACAGGCCCTTAGATTGTTGTTCCAGTAAAATACGACCTATAAAAAAGAAAAGGGACGACTATTATTGTGATTGTTTCAGAATCGGGTATAAATCTATAAAATCCCGCATTGTCCTTGGTGTCGTGACAAGGCATTACGTTTCACGTACTAAAAATAAATACGCAAAAGCTAACCGGATCCACAAAAGCTCATTTGTCCTGAGCATTTCACCGATAATATGAAAAGAAAATACTTCCGTTCTGCGCTTAAAGGACGACTTTTACAACAAGATGATCTATTCAAAAGAGATAATAGTTTTGGGGCGGCCTTGTGGGAGGGGGGGGGCACTTCCGTATAAGAGGCTAATGGGCATGTGCCGCTGGATGGGGTTGCATTTTCACGACTGGATTGACTATAATGGGGTTGCATTTTCAAAAGAGTTACTAGAATGGGGTCGCACATTTTCGGGTTTTGGGTTAAGAGAGTTGTTCATATTTACGGTTAGCAAGATACCAGGATATTTGTACTGTAGGTGAAAAGTAAAGTGTTCTTCATTCAATGGGGCAATTCATTTTTTGATGACCTATTTAAAGGATTGATAAGGTAGATACATAAATAGAAAGTGACTAAGTTGGGATCTCAAAAATTACATATTTTAGTGACTAATAATTGGCCACAGAATAGACTATAATGGGGTAGGGGCTCTGAGAGGCCAGCGGCACATACCTAGCAAAAGTTAACCCAAGTAACCCTTAGGGGGGCGCCGCGGTTTCGTTGAAATCATAACAGTTTTCCTGGAAAGCTCCACGAGATATCAGTCAATCTTAATAAGCAAATTTTCTTTTCAACGTAAATCAAACTGATTAGTATAAAGAATAGTGCCCTTATTTTTGACCCCAATTTTTTTTTTTAGAAAATCAATAAACAGACCAGAATCTTACTTTCTCATTTAAAAAACATGAAATATTCGGCGACGTTGCCCATGTCTCTCATATGGCGCGGAAACTTACTTTCATATGACAACATGCGGGTATTTTTTTTCGCACGCTCTGGAGGTCAAAGGGATGTGATTTTCCATGAAAAAAATATTCACAAAATTCTGCTTGTCTTGTTAAGAAAACAATTTGTTTAATTTTTAATAAGCTCACTGATTTATTAATTTGGGCGACCAACTTGGAGGCCCGGGCACCCCAGCTAAAATGCTTGGGGAGCCCGAAGGGCCCCCTGAAATTTTCCCTGCAGCCCTATTGTTGAGTGTGGAAGTACATTTTTTGTGGACATTAGTAAAGGAATGCAAATTTTAGTGAACTACCCCATACTCCTAACATATATGCATGGTGGTAATATTGATGTAAGTTTTGTTTTGAGTAGCAAAGGAACGCTTGTGTGTAACTCATCTTCTAGTGTATTATTCCTTAACAGAACATCTCCGTCTCTCCTGAACACATTTGTTGCATACACTACTCAACTTTCCATTGCCATTGAACACACCGGTAATTCTTTCTTACACCAACACATCCCGCGTAAAAGCCTTCGGGCGTCTTCTTGTTAAATTCACTTAAGCATTATACTATTGTGACTTTGATATTCTTCTTCTTTGATATTATCTTCTCTCGGCCATGTAATATCCTCTACGTTATAGCATGCTCTCTGTGAATGTCCAAAGAAATCTAGTAGATACGTTTCGTCAAGCTAAGTTCACTGTCGCCTCGTTTTTAGGACGAAACAACAAACTGAGACTTGACTGCTACTTGACTGAGACAATTTCTTCATTCCAAGACACTTTCAACTCCTCATAACGGGCAAACTAACATTGGTAGACCCGGGTAGACCCCAAAATTTACAAAGAAGAAAGGTTGAAGTAACAAGTTGACCGAAATAGTGCTATATAACCGCTAACAGTAACCAGCAATGAATCCAAGAAGAACGGCGAAAATAATACTCAAATCATCATGGTGGCTTGCACATGACCGAGCAATTCAAACTTGTCACAAACCCTCAAGAAAGCAACATATTTAAAACTAAGGCCACTGCTATCAAGATAAAGTGTTCCAACAGCTTTCCACGGCGGTATAGTGCCGAAATTACGTACACAAGCTTGGAATAAAGCGAAAATTTTACCACATATACCTCTGAAGACGGCTCTTTCCAAGCACGAAAATCACTCCACAAATGACGGATTCTGATTGGTCGAATCTCGTGACGCGCACCGCCAGGCGGTGTGCGTGACGACCCACAAAGGTTCATGGGTAAAACTGTGTATGTGCCTTATTTCAATGGTGACACGGTCGAGTTCGCATCTCGTGAGAGAGATGAATCAAAACCCGGGATCAAAACACTGCTTCCTTTTCTGAAAATATTACGGAGGAGAGCGATTTGGAGAATTTTGAAGATCTCATACTGGCCTTAGATGCTTGCTATTTGCTTCATAAGGTAATTTCAATAAGTTTATCGCTATTCGGAGACGATCGAAGGTGCGATTTTAGGCGGCGATTTCCTGCTTCTCTGAAGATTTTAAGTACTGTTTAGTGCTATGAGGAAAAATGTAACTCTTTCAAAGAAGCCACAGGGAGGTGACATATTCCTGCATATTCACCGGAGTTAAACACAGTTCCATCGGCAGAATATTGTATCAAGAAATCAAACGACAAGCAGATATAGGGTTTCCTATGAGATCAATCCATTCTGTACTTTATTTTCACGATAAATTCATGTATTAAATTGGTGGACAGGATGGCTGTGATGGGAGTTTGGGCATTTATTTTGTGTACCAGACACAGATGACATAAAACAAAAGAACAAGAATTCAAGAAAACATACCAAGCAGATTTTCCCTGAACAGAAAACAAAGAAGTCTTTTGTTTTACATCATCTGTGTCCAGTACACGAAGTTTTGACTGGAATTTGGAATACATTCATATCTGGACAAACTGTCAATTCATTTGGTCAGGGAAAGTGTACGTTTGACTGTCGGTCTGGGAATTTAAAAAACTATGCCTCTGGCAACCATGTCTCAACAAGCTCATGCATGTTGAGAATTGAAATACTGATCACTTTCAACGTTACTTGTATGTGGACATTTCATTCAAATTCACCCTTGCATGAGTATTTGTTTCTCATGCATGTACACAAATAACTATAAACACTTTCATAAATGATTTGGTATCTTTTACAGTGATAATTCAGTGCTAATGAGGGTACCGCATATTCAGTAATCATGAGTCATGATCGCTTTCATAGCTCTTCTCAACTGCATCCTTAATGACATAGCCTGGGACCAGGCTCCGCACTGGGGGAAAAAGGAAAAAAACGGGGTCAAATAGGAAAAATATCACATTGCTAAATGTAATTTCTATTTTAGTGTAAGTGATTATGTTTACACCTTACTGTTACAAAAAATTAGTTTTCAAGTGTGATTATGCACTACAACAAGTGCAAACACTCTCTTGCTGTAATTCACTTAACAATAAATATTTTTTCTCCAATTACCAGCATTTACTTGTTATTCATCTCCTACCATTTCATCCACTCACTACTAATGACACACTTCACAAGTAATTATTATTACACATTAAAGATAGCATTTGTTAGCTGCATATTCGCCTGCAGTTGTTAACTATCACACCCATTTTCTTTTACTATAATTACACATGCAGGAGGGTCAAATGGGGTGAACACGGAACCTATGAAACATTGGCTACCCTTCCTTAATAACACCAACCCCATTTAAATCCCAGAAAATCCTTTTTCTTAAAAGAGCATTGGGTTGAAATTTACTCCAACCAAAAGGCGATTAACTACATCTCACATTCCAATATTAGAACCAGTGTGGAAACTCGCCCTCCCAAGCTACACAATTTACTCCAATTCTCTCCCCCTCTCATCCCTGACATTTTATGCCCCCCCCCAAGCTTCGCGAGGTTCTGCGATACATGTTTTTTTAGTATGTACATTTCTATCTCAGAAAAGTGAAAGAGATCTGTAGCTCATGCCTGGATTTGCTTAAATAAAAAATTTGTCTATTTAATTGTAACGTTTGATGGACTTTATTAACCGGGCAAGGAGGGGGAGCGCGAAACAAAGAGCAAGGTGAGAAATCTTGCATCCTCCCTCATAACAATTTTATTTTCATCGACAATTTTATATTATTTTGCAAACAATGACTGGTTGTAATCCTTATAAGCAAATAAATCCTCTATAGGCAAGGGAAAAACAGACCAAAAGTAGCGCCCGAACAGCTACAGCACAATACGAATTTCCATGAATTTCACCGAAGCTACGGCCGCAGAAATAACCCACAATCTGATTTGCATACACATAGCACTCACTGCATGAGAATTATTTTGAAGACACGCTTTCAGTTTTCGCACTGGGTTAAAATGTTTTGTTTCCAAAGGTTATCACAATATTCAAATTTATTTACCTTTTCTGGTTTAAAATGAAACAAACTCTTCCTGGATTTTGCGCTACTGTACAGCCCCCGAAATGATCCCGACCCCGAAATGATCCCCATTTTTCTTCTTGTCGACCCCGAAATTATCCCCAAGGAATTAGGGAATGGTGATTATACATGGGACTGTGGATTGCTTTTTTCTTCTTTGTCGAAATGCTGCAATCCTGTCATTTCTTTTTAGTCTTACGAAGTTTCAAACAAGGTTACTAGTTACTGTCTCGTTCCAGTCTCGCTCCAGTGTCGTTCCAGTTGACCTTTCACCCATTTACTTTGATGCAATGTCTCGATCCGCGTGGTTTTTAGTTCTTCTGTATGGGAGAGGGTGGCCTGCGAGTAAAAAGCTCAGGTCATAAATCTGACAGCGACCACAACCTCAACCAGACGGCACTTCTAGGCCACGACGCCTCTGCCCCTCGCGGCTTCGCCGCTCACTCGCGCGTTCTCGCGAGACTCGCTTCTCTCGCCCAAATAGGAGAGCTTGCTCGCAGGCTAGGAACATTACCACAGTCTAGACAACGTTACCACTCTTTCGGCTGAGAAAGGAGAGGATCTTGTCGACTACAAGAAGAACAAGTACGGTGAAGGAAACGTCTCGGAGAAAATTTGTCCGAAGTGCTGCAAGAAATTTAAGTGCCTTACTTTGGGAATTTATGAGGATGAGAGTGGAATGATGCAATATTATGCCGACGACTGTTATGCTTGTGACGTGTGCTCTAAAGACGAGGAATGGTACTCGTACTAAACGTAATATTTTCAACGGTGCGTTCAACGACATTTGAGATCCCATTTTTACATTTATTTACAAACTGGAATATATTTTGTATTTCGGTAAAAAAAAAAAACAACGTTTAGTCTGTTCGTTGGATCTCGCCATGCTCTGCTATTACAAAGTTTACTATTTCAGAACGTTGTTAGCCATATGTTTCACTCTCATTTCCCTTCATTAACGTGATTTTCGGATTCCTTGTAATGTAACCAAGACAAGGTTTTGTTAGCTAGCCATTTAACACGTTAACATTTTCGTTTCTGTTTCTATTGTTTGCTGTCATGTGATCAATTTTATTTGAAAATTATGCATACCTATTAAGACTCGTTCCTGTTATGTGGTTGCATTATGTCAGTTGTAGTCCACCTTTCAAAAAAACATTAATTAGCTTCAGTTACAAATGTTTCTACAAATTACATTTATTGTAAAATTTTCCCTATTCTTAGTTTACTTTATTCTCTTTTAGTTGTTAATATCGGCGCCGTAAATCTATTTACTACATACGCCAAAATGTCTATACTTTCCCTAATTATTGAGCAATCCACAGTCCCATGTTTAATCACCATTCCATAATTCCTTGGGGATCATTTCGGGGTCGACAAGAAGAAAAGTGGGGATCATTTCGGGGTCAATTTGGGGATCATTTCAGGGTTGGGGATCATTTCGGGGTCCGGGATCATTTCGGGGGCTGTACACTACTCGCTTCACGTCGGCTTTCGTTTCGGCAAGTTTGTCAGCTCGTTTCCCGGGAGTTACCGCTAATTGGCTGAGACAATTTCGTCATTCCAAGACACTTTCAACGCCTCATAACGGGGAAACTAACAGGCGTAGACCCAGGTAGACCCCAAAATTTACAAAGAAGAAAGGTTGAAGAACAAGTTCACCGAAATAGTCCTATAAAACGGCTAACTGTAACCAGCAATGAATCCAAGAAGAACGGCGAAAATAACACTCAAATCATCATGGCGGCTTGCACATGACCGAGCAATTCAAACTTGTCACAAGCGCTCAAGAAAGCAACATATTTAAAACTAATGCCACTGCTATCAAGATAAAGTGTTCCAACAACTTTCCACGGCGGTATAGTGTCGAAATTACAAGGATTTTTGTCAGCCATATGTTTTAAAAGAATTTGCTCATGCTTTTAGCTGTCCGTATATTGAGTTATGGATGCACTTGGAAAGTTTGGAGAGCACTCAAGAAGCTAGAGTTGCTCTTGGCTGTGCCTCGAGCCACTCTTACGCATCTTTCGTGCTCTGCAAACTTCCCGCGTGCATCCATAACTCGATATACGCACGCTAAGCATGAACAAATTCTTAATTTTGCCGAAAGTGACTCTCTTCCTTCCTTTGGTTTTCCTCTTCGTGCAGAAAGTTCGTGAAAATTCCCATACTTTAAAGGGGCTGTGTCACGGAAGTCCAGTACATTTTGTTTAATTTTGCCAATTACTCGCCCTCAGTTGCTATGGAACTTAAAAGTAAGCAAAGAAATAACATGTAAATGACAAAATCAGAGATCCGAGACAAACAAATATGTCTCCTGAGCATTATTTTTGAAGTTGCAAGCAGCAGGGATCAACTTTGAAAAACTGTTAGGCTGAACAGTTTTCAAAAANAAAAGTAAGCAAAGAAATAACATGTAAATGACAAAATCAGAGATCCGAGACAAACAAATATGTCTCCTGAGCATTATTTTTGAAGTTGCAAGCAGCAGGGATCAACTTTGAAAAACTGTTAGGCTGAACAGTTTTCAAAAAGCCTAATTTCAATCCGTTTCCATCTTCTTCAGTTTTGCCCATCCGTGGTATCTGTTGTTTCTGTTATGTTATTTTAACCTTCCTTTAAACTTTTAAGCGGTTATTTTTATGTTTCTCTTAATTTAACGGGCATTTTGTAATTTCCTAATTTGGCTGACTTTGCATATTTTTAAACAATCTGTGAAAAGATAATGAGTGTGGTTCTTAGTCGATCTATTCTTGCAAAACAGACTGGGAGCAGTTTTTGCGGCTAATGCCTAGCTTCATCCGATTACAATAAAGGATGCTAAGACATGAGTGTCAAAAAATTATCGGTTTGATAGATCCCCTATCAGATGACCATATAATTCAAGGATACTTATAGGTCATGATAACGTTTGTTCGAAGTTCGATTAGCCTGTGTACAGACGCCTCCTCCCCTCGGTATAAAATCGTTAAAGGGGACAGACTCCCGATTTTTTCTTGAGGGAAGGGGGCATCTGTACACAGGCTGAGTTCGATTCAAGGCCTGGGCAGATTATCTGGCAGCTCCGTGGAGGGTCGAAAGTCTCTTCTGTTGATCCTCGCTGAGGAAAGTCAGGAAAACCGAACCAATCCTGCTTGTACAATGAACCCCTAACTCGATCTTAAAGCACGATGTTGGATTTGTCTTTGATTTGAAATCACAAGTTTGCTGGCTAGAAATGGAGAGAAGTGCCTGTATCTTGGGTAACCTTAATCAGGCTTTGAGCAATCATGGTAAAGACATTTATCATTATCGTAAAACTTGTATAATCATTCACGGGAGAAAACCTCAGTTACTGAGGCCAATCAGGTGTCAATCCGCACATGTGTACACTGGTTTAAGTTTTACTCAAAGAGTTTGTCTCGCTAAAAGAGTGAAAAACATTTCGGAAATGGAGTGGAATAGTTTCGTTTGTTTCACTGTCGATAAAGAAAACGGTAGAGAGCCGGTGAAACAACAGCGGAAAGGGACAAACAGAACGAGACGTAAGCTTTTGTTGTGCTTTTTGTCGGAGCTACTTTGCCTTTCATTTAAGCTTAAGCTTATATTGAAACCGGCCATTTTACTTAAATTCACTCATTTTTAATTGTGCATTGAAAACAAAGAGTTAAGATTACTTATAGTTCTTGGATTACCTCATATCCTCACCGTCATTTATGTTTTTAACAAACGTTTTTACTAAAAAGCTGATACGTCATTTTCGTTGTCATTTTGCGGTAAGTGTGTAGCGGCAAATTTTAGCATTTTTGAAAGATTTAAAATAAAAAGGCCGCCAAAATGATGAATGTCTCAGTATCTATATAAGAAACACAATACCACATGGAAAGTGCTTTGTACGGTATTTACGCACTCGTTGTTTTTGTATCAGAAATCTTACTCGTTCGCTGCGCTCACTCGTTCGATTTCTGATACGTCAACAACTCGTGCGTAAATACCGTACGCCAGCACTTTTCATGAAGTATTCTCTATTTCTTTTTCTGCTGGCATTGAAGTTCTTTGAATCCAGTCCGGCTGTGCTGTAACTAAGCTCGTTCAACAGCAGCCAAACCCTCTTGTTGGGGCAACCAATGGGCAATGCCCAGTGTCCACTTTATTATGGAGGGGTTCGTTTTAAAGAGATAGAAATTGTAGGAAGTTTGGTATCTTTGGCACCAAGAAAACCGTCGGTAACAGAGTGGTGTTCGTATTTTAGAGGTTCCCTAACGAGGGGTTTGAATGTTCTTCTTTAAATGACGACGGGTCAACGACTAGGTTACAGTGTCTCCTTAACTGGATATTAAACTGGCATAAACTGTTTTGTGTTGGTTTTTTTTAGACACCGGCCGTTTAATGCAGGAATCAGTAGCCTTGGACACCTCTCACGAGAGCAGTCGAGGCACTACGCGGCTACCCAGTCCAGAACTAGGCGCCGACGGTGACGAGTTTTCCGACTGGGACAGCTGGAAGGGTGATAACGAGGTACGCAGCTTTAAATGGAAATTCATTCATGTGAAGCATGTGCAGTATTGATGACAGATTTAACTTGCTAGCGAGGTCTCTCTCAAAACGCAAAGTGGAGGGGTGTAGCGCGCCCGCGGAGAGGTATCAAAAACAACTCACGCGTAAGAAAGTCGAGATGAGGGTGAAAGCTTTCCGCATAGTGAACAATATAGATCAGACGTGGGCATAAATAAACACAACCAAATTGGGATCCTTATCTCCCCTTTTTTATCACAGAGACGACTGTGTTGTGCCTTTTTTTTTTTTTTTAAAAACACGGGAATTGGAGGACCAGTCTAGGTTAATTTACGTTGTTCACGTTATTTCCCTACCACCAGTTTAGCTACTGCCCACGATGTTATCGCGCGACAAGGGTTGCTATCTAGTTGCAGCTTCCAAATCATGCGTGTAAACAGTCGGCGATTTCAGCGTTATTTGCCGGATTGTCAAATCCAAGTTGCCCCAAAGTGCGTTTAGTTTTAGTTTTGTTTACTTCAGATTAGATTTTCTCATTTAGACAACTTCAGAGCGGCAATCGCATGCAAATGTCAGTTTTCTGTCCTCCATAATTCTTTACAAGCAACTGATTAGGATTAGTTAATGTAAAGAGGACACGTGCTGTTGTCCAGTCATTTGCCTCATCACGGTACGTTCTTCACAAAATCGCAGACAGATCGTACTAAACTCTCTGATCCGCAAATACTGCTACCCTTGTCGCGTAACAATTAAATCGACCGTGTAAATGGCCCCTGACAATCTAACAGTTTACCACTGACTAAGCGTAAGAAGAAGAAGGGTTGACGGTTTTCAGATTCTTGTGCTTGTGCTTCTGTTTAAACGTGTGTTGTAAAAGCGCCACATAACCAAAGTTTTTATAGGCCTTAGACAAAAAGCGTCGTGGCTTGTTCGAGGTTAAATGGTAAAACGAAAAATAAATACCAAGAGTAGAGGCCACACGTGTGGATTATTGTGTTTTTTCTTCTTATCCCAGAATGGAACTGCTCTCATGACGTTGTTCTCGGAGAATTTTACGCCAGATCAATCAAGTTTACAAGTCAAGGAGTCCCGAAGGTAAGAAATGTTTTAAGTGGAACGGATGTAGTGTTTTAAACCAAAATGGTTTAGACTGGTATGTAAACTAAAAACAGAGCACTACGAATGTAGGGAAAAGATTAAGTTGTTCGTTTGACAAGAACAGTTCAGTGTCGTGAGAGATATTTATTCATCGTGTTTGTG